ACCAGGACGGTGGGACTGGGCTAACTTCGGCACCGCTCGGCTCACTTCGGCTCCGCTCGGCGCGTCAGCTCCGGGGGGGGGGGGTTCCAGCTAGCGCGACACGTCACAATACATTTATGAACAATGGACGAGACCCCGTGTGAGGTGAAATAATATGCACCAAAATAACGTGGGTATAATAGAAACTTTAAAGGATTCTATCTCGTTTTACCTTGAACAGATGACTATAGCGTGTGATTTTAACACGGACTAAGACAGTGTAGAAGTTTTAACATAATTTAGTAAAATATTTGTAACATATCAAGACACCTGAAGATGACCGTTTGAGGCCGAAACATGTATTGTCAACGTGTATAATGTTAAACTAAAATTAAAATTAAGTAGTGAATAAAAAAGTGTTGCAATACTGACGGACGATAAATAATGGTCGTTAAGTTAAAGAACATTTCTTACCTCAAAAGTAATCTCCAAAACTGTTAATAAATTTATCCCACTGGGAGTTAAGACGGTCAATCCCATCCTTGAAAAAGCTTGTCGGCTGTCTACGGAACTACACATATTTACCCAGCCACACACATCTTCGTCCGATGCAAACCGATGTCCACGAATGTCTCTCTTCAGATCTCGAAAAAATGTGAAAGTCATATGGGAAAAGATCTGAGCTGTAAGGGGGGATATTGAAGCACTTCCCAACCAAATTTCTGTAGCTTATTCCTCATAGAACTGGCAGTGTGGGGGCGCGTATTATCATGAAGAAGGATAATGCCGTTGCATAGCATTCAAGGGCGTTTTGACTTTATGGCACGTCTCAGTTTCTGCAAAGTGTCTTCATAGCGCTGTGCATTGATTGTGGCCCCATGCTCCAGAAATTCGACAAGCAGAGGGCCCTTGCAGTCGAGAAAGAACGTCATGATCACTTTATCGGAACTTGTGTGAGCGGCTTTGGAGTTCTTCAGTGGGGATTAATTCACGTGTTCCCACTGTTGGCTCTGCCGTTTGCTCTCCGGTTCAAAATGGTGGCACCAAGTTTCGTCCCCAGTGGCAATACGGGACAGAAAAGCACAGTCTTCTTCATGGTATCATTGCAAGTGACCCAGTGATGCAGCCATTCTCTGAGTCTTCTGTTCCTCCGTGAGTTGATGTGAAATCCACTGTGCGCAGATTTTGCGGTACAGCAGGTGTTTTGTCACAATGGCGTGTAAGGAACCGTGACTTATTCCTATCAAAAGATTAATTTCTTCCACAGTGATCCGTCGGTTTGCCCGGATATGACCATCCAACGCAGCAATAACATCAGGAGAGATGACACGACGGGCCTGCCCTGGGCGAGCATCATCTTGCAGTGACACACGTCCCTCTCGGAATCTCTTATGTCATGCCAGCACACGCAAACGAGACATGCTGTATTCGCAGTAAACAACAGACATGCGACGATGAATTTCTCGTCCTCCTACCCCTTCAGCAGTCAAAAAGCGCGCACTACACTTCGCTGTTCTTCTTTACCCGCCTCCATTACTGATGTTGCACGACCACACGTAGAGCTAACCTTACTTTCAGCACAATAAACAAACGACTAGTGTGCAAGGGCACGTCACTGTGCTTTCCCGAGTCCGCACCAGATGTTCGTACGGTAAGAAAATTCCAGTGTGACCAACTTGCGCGCCGTGTGAGTTATGCGTGGTGACCCGTTTTCATTTGACTGCCCCTTATACAATGTTTTTTCACTGCCTATAAATGATAGCAATAGTAAATTGTAGCATCAATCCACGTTCCCATATTATTGCAAGATACGCCACCTCACACGAAAACCGACTTCGACAACACGTAAATGAAGAAGCGTCCAGGCTCCTAAATGTGGGAAACCTAACCAGGCGACTCAAACGGACCAAATTTTACGCACTAGCCAAGCAGCCCGACACCTAAGGTATCCGATGGGCGAACTTAACTTCATATAATTTTAGTAACTTAGTGTCAAATTAAAACAGCGAACTGGTCTTTGTAACATTTTGCATACATCTTGTAGCAGCCAATATATATATATCCACGTTCCCCACCTTGTGATGACGGGTACCGAGGGCAGTGGAACACCAGGAGCCATAGATTTAAATTGTATTTTACGAGCTGGAGCCTTGACAAAAATCTCCTTCGTTCATGACACGAGATCATCCACTTGAGGAAATCTTTATCTCACTTCCTCCGTCACTCTATGCAGTGCATGTGCTAGGCAAGTAACCTGCAACAATTTAGTATAAAACGACTTNTTTACGCACTAGCCAAGCAGCCCGACACCTAAGGTATCCGATGGGCGAACTTAACTTCATATAATTTTAGTAACTTAGTGTCAAATTAAAACAGCGAACTGGTCTTTGTAACATTTTGCATACATCTTGTAGCAGCCAATATATATATATCCACGTTCCCCACCTTGTGATGACGGGTACCGAGGGCAGTGGAACACCAGGAGCCATAGATTTAAATTGTATTTTACGAGCTGGAGCCTTGACAAAAATCTCCTTCGTTCATGACACGAGATCATCCACTTGAGGAAATCTTTATCTCACTTCCTCCGTCACTCTATGCAGTGCATGTGCTAGGCAAGTAACCTGCAACAATTTAGTATAAAACGACTTTATTGACTTTCCTGCTTTTAAAATTTACTGGGCCGCATCGTTCACAAAAAGCAAGACGACGTCGTGTCGTATACCCTCTGGCCACAGTAGAAACATCGACCTGTTAAAGATTTTACAAATTGTGGAATGATTAGCGGATTCTAGGACCTCACTCGTAGGCAGAAATACTTCACCTGGTCCATCAATTTCCAAGGTTCCAATGATGACATTTGCCACGTATCGCAGGTCTCGTCAACAGAAACGAAAATCTTTTTCCCATGCACTTTATTCCTAATCATTTCCAGGATATTGTTGCAGCACTTAGAGAGGTAGTTTCTTTTTCCCTTGAGGGTGGATTCATCCGGGATAGAACGACCACAATTCACTTCCAGAAAATTTTTCAGGTTTTATTTTTTCAGAGCCTAAAACGGAATATTTGCGGACGCGTCTGCGAAAAAATCCGATGACTTACTTTGCACAGAACTCGGAAAGGGCAGCAGTGTGAGTGACCGCTGTCGTACCCTGCTGCCAGCTTAAAATGTTTTATTATATGTAATGTCAGCACTTTGCGCAAAACAAACGGAAAGGACGGGACATTATTACAACTTATTATTGCATACTGTGGTAGTCGGTATTTGGGGTGCAGCTGCAGGCTGCCTTTGTAGAGGCAGGAGAAAGAGAAAGAACACTTTACTTGCATATTATTCTCATTTCTGAAAACATATGAAGAAGAATTCCCTAAAGTGGCTAAACTGACAAAAAAAATACCATTAAAAGTCCAAATATTTACCGAAAAAAAAATTACACAAAAACTTTAAAATCACGAAAAATATAAAAATGTCCTAAAAGTTACATTTCTGTAACCAGCAGCTCATCTGCGGGATTTATATATTTACGGGCATCCAATAGGATACAAGGAAAAAGGATGGCATGTCATCAAAATCCGGGCCCTGCTAATAGCCTAGCAACGAACAGTGTAAGCGGACTGAGAAGACTTAGTGTTGTGTTAGAATATAATATTTAATTTTGTTTTCTACTGAAACTGCAGGAACAAACGACTTATAAACTACCTTTCTGTGAGGCGGCTGGCATGTGCACAGCACTGGGACTGGGTCGTAATATAGACCCAGAGCAACAGGTAATGCAACAGCAATTCACAGGCCCAATACCACTACCAATTTCAACAAACCAGCTACAATATGATGCCTTTGGAACAAACAGCAATTAACAGAACCCCACCAATAAGCAATAACAAAAATAACACCCAGGATGAGCCAGAAATAAGAACAAACTACACGTACACTTGGCAACGGGCAAAGAAAAGGAAAAGATCTAACCAAACCCCAGTAACAACAATGGAAGGAAATCCCTTTCTCTTTACTACCCAAAACAGATACGAAAAGCTCTTACAGCTCTCAGACGAGGTATATGCAAACAAACGAGACAATTGAAACAGCAATAAACACTAAAAATAAACAACTAAGACAGGAAACGCACGTTTTTCACATAAGAATAACTTTGTTGATTTTCAAGATAAAACCTTTTTAATTACACAAAAAAGAAGGCATTTTAATGCATTTTAACTTACATTACGTACGGAAAATAATATCAGTTAGATGACATCCTTGCTGGACACACCTTTGGAGCCTCTCCTCAAAATTCTGCATTGCATTCTCTAACACGTTTTCCGGCATAGCTGCGACTTCTTGACGAATGGAAAGTTTCGGCCCTTGGCTCGTTCGTGGTCTGCTCGTGTACACTGTTGCCTTGAGCTATCCCCACAAAAATAAATCACAAACCGGCAGATCAGGGGAGCGTGGGGGCCAAAAAACATCACCGAAATGGGAGATCATATGTTGGGGGAACATGTGTCGAACAACTTCCGTTTACCTGCGTTGTGCAAATTCACCTTCGGCCAGCTGCTGAACAATCATTATTTTGCAGGGATTAAATTGTAACTCTTCGTGTAGGATGCGATGTAGCGAAAGACGTGACATACCGAAAGCTAATGCCTGACGCCTAGCGGAACGGGTGGGACTAGCAACAATCGACCTTTTCACTGTGTCAACGTTTTTCGGGGTCCGTAATGAATGCGGAAGGCCGGCTGGTCTCCTCTTCATGATAGATCCAGTAGTAGTATATGCTTCAACTTATCTGAACATAGTGTTACGATCTGGAACTGTTCCTCGACTGTCCTCGACGCTCAACATTGAACTTTCGACAGAAAAGACGTTGGACAGTAACTACGGAACTACGGAATCACTGTTTCTAAAAAAATGTTCCACAACAAACATACGATGTTCTACGTTCCAACCCCTACTTAAGTGACCTCTACCGAGCTCTCTACATATTACTCATATGTAATCTGTGCTCCCTATTTCTGCTCACCAGGTGTCTCGTTAGACTCGTTAGGTATTAACAGTTATTAACAGCACCGAGCGCCGCCACTGAGTACCACTGGCCACTGAGTTTGATGTCTACTCGTTTAATAGGAAGTCTAATAGAAAGTTATAACGTTAAGGTAAGGCATATATCTTTACCGATTCGTAATAAGTGTATAGTATATATATATATATANGCTCTTCGGCGTGGGGTTCCCACAGTAAAACGAGTAAAACTGCGTAGCTTGTGGACCTATATGTGCGCCATTGAGGTATGTGGTGCAATTAATTAGATTAATTAATAAGCAAGGACTTTGATTTGATGTAATGNTTATTTCTAGGCTCATAGAAATGGCGAAGTCCAAGAATCATACCAATCACAATCAAAGTGAGTATACCAGTATGTAAAGTTCATTTTTCCCATGGGATTNATGAAATTAGAAACAAACATGAAGTCAGTGTTACTTTGATACATCAGCCAAAATGTATTTCTGTATTTTAAACATCTTTCGGTGTAGCCNCATTTTTCCCATGGGATTATGGGCCACGTGTGAAGATGACAATTGAGCACCATCCATTATGATAATCTGTAGAATGGAATGGTGGTTCACCCATAATTCTTTTTGTGTGCAATCATTCAGTGATACCACTTGTTCAGATCAATGTTAAGTACACAAATTATCCTATATTGAATTTCCATACAAACATCAGTGTGTCACATATCTAACACAGTCTTCAGTACTTTTGTGGAGAAGTACTAGTTCTTAAGGAACCATACAGAGTGGACTATTCTGTTAGGCCTACTTCCATACATGAATTATCAGACGTAAATTTTCATCCCATGATAATTTTTGAAAGAAAATGCAGAACTCTCAAAAGACTTGTACAGTGAATATACAGGCTATAGACAAAGTAATGGCAATACTAGATACTGAGGTATAGAATTTGTTTTGCTGCACTGAAGGAAAGTTTTCAGCACTGAACGTTCTTCCATTTATTTACACTCATCATGTCAGTGCATTAGTGATTGTGTTGCGTGACAGTTCGTGTGAAAGAATCAGAAAATGGGAGCTTGTCCGATAGTGAAAGAGGGCAGATTGTTGATGCACGTTTAGCTAGAGCAAACCTGCCATATAATTATGTGTATCGACAGCAACAGTTTCTGAGGTTATGTTAGCATACATGAATCATGGGAAGTCAACATCAGTGAACGGGAGCAATGGACAAAAATCAATGTTGACAGAAAGTGATTGTCATACATTGAGAAGGATAATTTTGAAAAATCACCCAACTGTTACAGAACTGAATATGTATTCATCTTGAAGACCATTTCCACAAAAACTTTCCAACGTAAGCTTCACAAATCCAACACCCATGGTATGGCTGTGACTGCAAAACCTCTGATTATTGAAAGTACTGCTCAGATGCATAAATGATGATGTTACGACCATAAAACCTGGACATCAGACAACTGGAAATGCACATGTGATATGGTCAGTTGAGTTGTCCTTCATGCTGTTCCTTACATCAGGAGATGGATTACACCCAAGGAAGCCTTTCAATCCAGAATGCCTGGTTCCCACAGTGGAGTATTGAGGAGGTTCTGTGATGGTGTGGGGTGGCAGTATCATGGTACAATATTCTCTTAGTCTCATTCTCTCCCTTCATGGCTGAATTACTGCAATTAGTACATGGACAGGTTGGGTAAGCAGGTACATCCCATGATTCAGATGTTCTTTCCAAACAGTGATGCAGTTTTTCAGGATGACAATGCCCCTGTGCACACAGCTGGAATTATTCATCATGGTTTGAAGAGCATAAAGGTGAACTTCAGCTTCTTCCCTGGCTAGCAGAATCACTAGATTTGAACACTGTTGAACCACTCGTCACATTTGGAGACCAGAGTGAGGAACATATTCCCACTTCCAACATCTCTAAAAGCAACTTGGTGTTCTTCGAGAAGAATGGTACCCCAGCTAATCTAGTGTTCGGAAGAGAACTCTGACTACCCTGCGACCTGCTGTTTGGAGTTCTCCCAGACAAAGAACTACCCACAGCCGACTATGCGGCAGACTTGGCAGATCATCTACACGACATCCATAATTATGCCCGGCAACACATGAAGCTCGCTAGTGACCTAATGAAAACTCAGTACGATAGACTAGCCAACTCCACAGGGTCCCACAAACAACAGAGTGTGGCTACACCGCCCAGCCCGCAAAAAGGGGAAATCACCGAAACTTCAATCCTCGTGGGAAGGCCCTTACAAGGTAGTCAACCGAATAAATGACGTAGTATACAGAATCCAGAAAAACCCTAGGTCGAGGATGTTGGTAATACACCTGGACTGGCTCGCGCCTTACTACAGAGCTGCTCGGGACGAGCACCCATGAAGAAAAAGACGGAGGTAACTCGCGGAAGATGAACACCTTAGGAAATGAAACCAAGGATGCACCGTTAGGCTGTTCGGGACGAACAACCTTTAGAAGGGGGCAATGTAACATGTTTGGTCTCATCCGTTAGTACTCAGTGGCCTTCTGTTGTTCATCTCCGGGGAAACACGTTCGTTGTTTCAGCATTGTCTACGCAACGGCTCACTGTTATTGCGTTGCCATGGACGTATCTACTCCAAACACGTTACATTATAAAATTCCACTAGGGACTGTTCAAGACTTGTAAGAATTCATTCCAAGAAGGATTGCAGCTATGAAATTGAAAGGTGATTCTGCACCATATACATAAAGAAATATATACAATATCTATAGTGTTTCCATTATTTTTTCCACCCCCTGTATTAGCAGTGTACTGCAGTTTTTTAGAATAAGTAGTTAATTTTCCAACTTTCTGACTCTACTTTTCTGTTGTCATCTTGATTATGTCAGAAACTGAACAATGTTAAGTATGTAGCTGTATGAAAATGGAAAGATATTTCAGTCTTTCTTTTGAATTAATTGTGAAGTTTTATTGATAATAGTTGTTTGGTAATTAATTACACACAATTTCATACAGTCAGTGAAAATCATTAAGATACATAACCATCCCAAATTGCCCTGTGAACAAGGGAGATCTTTTCTTTTATCAGATTAGAATAATTATGTACATGGAAGTGTGAGAATGCACTTCCTTTATTCTTATGTTGTTATTTGATGTTAATATACATTATAACCTATGTTTATTCATAACAGAAACTTGTAATGACTTGTGTATTTGAGATTTTATAAACCTTTGTGATACTGGCTTATGACTGTTGCAGTCTACAAACAGCAGTGATGAAAATACAGTTGCATGTGTGTATGACTACTAATGCCAAATTAAAAATACAGTTTTTGGGAGCCTGGTTTTAATAAATGGGAGAAAATATATATACGATAGTGTGTAACTGGTGCGCAGTTTGGTTAAACTATTGGTTCCATTGTATACTGTTGAATCTAATCTTTGGTTAATGTATGTAGCTCAATAATTCATAGGACAAAAGTATACAATGATAATACTGTTATGAGAATTAGTAGTAACTTTTAACATAAAGGAGAAAATGGTGATGCAGAAGTGATTTTAGCCCAATTAATGTTCTGTTACAGACAGGAAAGCACATCGAAATGGAATTAAGAAACCAAAGCGATACAGGCATGAGTCAACCAGAGGAGTAAGTGACCTTGCATAAATCCTATTGAAACCATATATAGTGATACCTACAGTATGGAATTTAGAAACTCTTTTAGCTGTGCAATACTGTTTATGTATTATAATTACAGATCACTGGAAAACAATGGTGCAAAAAGTGTTTTAAAAAAGACTTTTAGTTTCTGGCATGTTTGTAGAATATGCACAACTTTAATGAGCTTGCATTCTGTGAAATGTATTAATCACATCCACTTTAAAACATGGGGTGAATCCCTAGCCTGAAAACACTTATGAAAAATGCTCATAGTGTATTTTTTAAGATGTATTTCATGACCCCTAATAAATTAGAAAAATGGAATTGATATGACTCAAAGTTTGTATGCAATATTGATGCAATACAAAATTACTACTAAAGCTAATTTATAATATTTAATTGAAATAAGTATGAAGTTATACATGGGTTACTTCAAAAGTCATGGCAACTAATTTTTTTGGGGCAAACACGTTACAGTGAAGAAAGTTCAAAATATACTTATGAAAGGGCATGATATACCCCTCCGATTGGCTTAGTCATGTCAGGTAAAAGTGAAGGGGCATAGGTATAGGCAAGACAAATTACACATTATGGAATGTTTTTTTTTCGTTCTTTAATCCTCGAAAAATTCAATTGTGATTAAGAAATAAAAAATTCAGTGTGAGTTAAATCTGAATTCTTACATTACGACTAGCAACCTTCGAAGTAGTCTCCAAGTGCATCGAGTACTCGCTGCCAGCGATGAGGAAGACGGCGAATACAATCAGCTTCACCATCTCCAAATCTTATCATCTCACACCAAACTGCATTGGAAATGTCCTCTTGCGTACAAAAGCATTTCCCTCGCAATGGCTGTTTCAATTTGGGTATAAGTCATAGTCACATGGCAAAAGGTTGGGTGAACACGGAGGATGGTGTAGTACTTACCAACCCCAATGTCGTAAATGGTTCTTGACACTGTTTGCTCTGTGGGTGGTTGCATTGTCATGAAGGACGATGGCATTGTTAAGCAGTTTAGGACGTTTATTCCTAATTGCACGGTAAGTTATTCTGCAGAAAGGACTCATAATACACTGCATTGACAGTTTGACCATGTGGAACAAAATGAAACAGAATAACTCCCTGGACATCGTATGCTAAAATGACCATTAACCTAACAGGGGATGGGTTTCGACGAAACTTGTGCTTTCGCGGCTACTCTGGATGTTGCCACTCAGCGGACTGCCGTTTAAGCTCAGGTTTGTATGCCCTAGCCCATGTTTCATCGATGGAAATTATCCGATTCAAGAAATTGTCTCCTTCAATTTCATATCGTTCAAGGTTCACACGACAGAAACAATTCAGCTTTCATATTTTTGAGCATACGGTCACAAAATTCTACACTCTTTACCTTATTGTTTGCACGAAGAGCCTGTACCAATTGTAGGTGGTATGGTTTGTACACTAACCGGCGTCTCAATACACACCAGACAGTTGTCTGCGAT